TGAAGAACTGCACCATTCAACGACTACTCACAACCTCAATTCCATTTCACTCCTGGCTATTTAACATGAATTAATGAAGCATAATAATTTTAAATGAAATTTCACTTAATTCTCAGATTTTGTGAGTTAGAAAATCAAACAGCCATTTCCTATCACCAATCAATTTTAAAACAGGTGCCTTCCACTACTCTCAGAAGAACACTTGAGTATAGACATGAATGGAGAATTTGGTTTAATTTCTGTTAGTGTCAGCTGTCAGTGTAACCCAGAAAAATTACTCTTTATCATGTCCCTGTAAAAAAGACTATATATAAAAAGACAAGTCCTGAAAAGCAGGATCTTCGCAACAAGATCTAAAATCCTCACTTTACCCAGGTACATACACCCTACCCACCCTTTCCAGGCTACAATCTTTAGTTCCTCTTCGCCACACTATTTTTTGTAGTCATTACTTTTCAAAATTTAAATTAATTGCAAGTGATTTTTCGTGATACCTTAAGAGATAGTACTGATATGATGTAACATTTCTCATAAGATAACATAGTTTGAAGAATTTATGGACCTATTTTACTTTAAAAAGCTTAGGTGTAAGGATATTTGAGAATCTTTCATTTTGTAATATTTTTTCCAAAACTGACACACCTAAGTAGTGACAGCAGATGGAAGAGGTTAAAAGTATCAACTCCCAAATTACCAACTTTGCTAGGCCACCTTCCTTTCATAATTTAGACCCTTCTGTTGGAGATTTGAAAATATATTCTAGGCAGATGACATGTTAACAGAATAATTTCATGGTTCAGTGTCTTCGCAGTATGATTTATCTCTTATCTCTAGGCACTGCAGGTCCCTTTTCAGGAGATTTATTAGTTAGATACAAGAATCCATTTTGATGAGGGAGAGTATGTGCATTATTGCAAAACAGAACATTAACATGTGCGCTAAGATAATGCCTCCTTCTCATTATCAGTCTTAAGAAAAGTCCCATCCATGTGCTATCACAACTGTTTCCAAGCTACTGCACCTTCATACAACAAAATGTTTATGTATGAAAGGTTTTTAAAATTTGCATTAGTCCAGGAATTTGTATCCCCTTCTCTTCTAAATCTACATAATGTACATAGAAATAAAGTCCAAAGTCTAATGAAACATGGACTTAAAAATTAACTGGCATTTTCTTTTTCACTCCGCTTTTGCTATCAGATATTTGCTGCAGACATTACATTTTTTGTAGGACAAGAAACGTGTTTAACCACAGGAAGATGCTTAAACATCTGGCTCACAGCTCAAGCCATATTATCAAAAGTATGAAGTTAATACCTAGACACCTTAAAAAAACCCATTGTGTTTTTTGAAAACAGCATCCAGAATTTCCTGTTATGAAACACTAGTCAGGTGTTGAGGGAAGTGCAGTACAGTGGGATCACATTTTTTCACGTGTTCAAGTTGAAGTACTCAGTGATTTTTGAGGGTTCACCTGTCCTCTAAGAAATAAGCTATTTTGTTGAGATAAATTCAGTCTCCAATTTAAATGGGCATATGTTGAGGGTTAGGTGTCCTTTTTTTTTGTTTTTGTTTGTTTTGTCGTTCTGGCCTGCCCGGGGAATTTTTACCCATTATGTGCTGGGGCAACCTAACTACCGGTACTTAGGGGTGATTGACAACGGACAAAGAGTAGCCGGGCCCAGGGGGGGGAAAGGGGGCAGAAAAGGAGGGTGGGGACAGTTTTTTAGCTGGTTTTTCTCCGGCTTCGGGGAAGGACGTTCGTGTGCTGGGTCGCGGAGCGGCTGCGGTGGAGAGAAGGGATTTTCGCCATCACCCAGACGGAGCAGTTGCTTCTTCTCCTTCTCCCCTCTTGGTTGGTGGCCTCGCACCCCCTGCCCTGCCGGGACGTGTGGCAGCCACCGCCGCAGAGCTGCTGATACACCTCATCCACCGGCCCAGGATCTCAGCTCATCCCTGCTGTTCCAGCCGACTGTTCCCCGGAGCCCTGCAGGAGCACCGGGACTGACTGCCCGAGGGGTTTGTGAAAAACTAAACCTCTCCTCCACCCCATCTCAGCTGAGAGAGCTGTCCCGGGGTCCCTGGTTCTGTGTTCTTGTTATTGCTGTAGTTATTGTTTGTTTGTTTGCCTGGTTATACTAGTAAAGAACTGTTATTCCTATCCCCAGATCTCTGCCTGAAAGCCCCTTGATTTCAAATTTATAATAATTCGGAGGGAGGGGGTCTACATTCTTTCACCCCAAGGGAGGCTCCTGCTCTCCCTAGCAGACACCTGTCTTCTAGAACCAAGACAGCATAGGAGGCCTCTTCATCCCACAATGCCATAAAACACATCTTGTGACTCTGCTGAATCCACAGATGCGCTCCTTTACTGACCCCTGAGCTATTCAGTGTGGAGATTAGTCCATCCCTGGTCTAAGTTACATAACACAGACGTGAATCTGGAGGCAGTAAGTTTAACAAAGTCCTTGACTTGAGTTCTACACAAGAAGATATTTCCAAAGATCTTGGGGTTATGCAACTGCTCTGACTGCCAGTACAAAGTTATTCATCTAATGGTTGATTCAAATCCTATAAAGTCAAAGACTCGTTGATTTAAATTATACTAATTTAAGACTAAGGTCTAGCTCTGCTGCTCACTATGTTGAAACTCAATGCCAAGGCTAAAAGCACAATTGGCTCTCACTAGTAAAAAAGCCAACGACTAAACTGACATAGAAACTGAACTATCTGAGAACAGAAGTCTACAGAAACACACACAGAAATTTCTGTATCTAGTTTTGACAGTTTTGCCATTATTAACACTTTAAAATATTCATGAGAACTGATTATTAAACAGTGCTTGATAACAAAACTTGAAAACCACTGCAAAGTCTTCTGCTAATGCAAAGTAACTAGCATCACAGAAAACAGACCAGTCTAATACACAGAAGGAAGTAGAAAGATACGGATCAACTGGAGTCAAAAATGTAAGTGAAAAAGGAACTAACTCTTGATAACTATCTGAGTGATGTCTCAGTGTCTTTTACTGTAATAGCAATGTCACCTCTTCTCCAAACTAAAGTCAAATCAGCCCAATCAATAAAAAATTGTGAGAACACATACAGAAATCACATACAAAAATCAATGAATCAATAGTTCATTACATCTACTGCTTGTTATTACCCATTACATGTATTGTCTGTTCTTTGCAGAACAACAAAATGTAGGGAACCACAGTCACACCATTACTGTGCTGAGAGGATTTTGGATTGAACAGTGTCAGAAGTTGAGCTCCAATGCTTCTATATGTCACTGCTGGACACTCAACATGCAGTGGTCAGAATAACCACTTTCAGTCTGAGAAGAGCCTCAATGCTCATTTTGAAAAGGCTGTTAAAATTGTGGGCATTTCAGCCTAGTTATCAGGAACTGGTCTGAGAATACGTCTGAGCTGCCAAGCTACTCTAAGAGGGGAATGCACCTTTACGTTATATTTGCTATCCCTCTGAATTGATTTCAAACAAGCACCAGGAGAGAAGCTCTGTCTCCTATACCCCAGATGCTTATTGCCATCCAGCACTCATCATAGCTTAGTTCATCTAATAAGAATGCACAGTTAGAAGCAGCAGGGCTGTAGCTCATATAATGCACAGCAGAGAAAAATACCTCAACTTAAAATTTGATACTATTCTATCTGGTAAATGTACACATTATTTGATTAATAAGATAGATAATTCACCTTTGTTTTGCTAAGTCATAGAGATGCAACAGCACATAGAGAAAGAGGTAATCTGTGGACAGAAATCAAAGACTCTACATGCCCTACTTTATGTATCGTTCCTATTGCTTGCTCTTACTTTTGGTACCACTTGTGTCCTTTTAAACTGTTTAAGCACTGCTAAAATTTTTAGATATTGTTTTAGTAATCTGAAGCCTCCCTTGCCTTAACTGCCCGGACCTGTTTTACAATCATGAAAAGGCAACAAGATCAACTGCTGCTTCGGTATGAATAATTTTGGAAAGAGTGATGGTAGTTCATGTCTGAGCTGGGGAGAAGGAGATAACTGTATGAGCCAGAACCCAGCACAACTGCATCTGCATATAAATAGACTTAATCAGAAATGCAAATTGCAATCAGACAAAATTTTAAAAGCCTATGATAACTGTGTAGATAACAAAAGGTCAAACACTTGAATTGCTGAAGGTTTTAAACTGTTAAGTCAGTGGTGATTCTTCATGAACCAAAATGTGGAAGACTAGTATATGCCAGCCTAATCAATGACAGACAATTCCTATATTTCTTCTGTTATTAAAACTCTTCTGTTGCTAAACTCTGTCTTGCACTGTCAATCTCAATTTATTCAGGAAGATTAAATGAAATGAAAACAAATGAAATCAAATATAGACAGTATGAAATAATATAGCTAATTTACATGACTATATATAGAAAGAAATTGATACCCTTTTTCATATCCAGTCTAATATAATTCATATTGGATTGTCCATGGATGACAATCCAAATCTTCACATTTTAACATCTTCAGGTAAATGAAAAAATAAATTATAACTACAGTTTGCTGAAACTGCCAGACTGCATCATAGCACTGTCCAAATTGCATGTTTTTCTTTTACAGTAAAACAAGCCTAAGACTCTAGGGGAATAATATTTGAAAACATTATTTAACAGTTAAAAATGTTGGCTTCTCCATTTGAAAGAAACGTTTTCATCAGTAGTAGCTAAGAAAAGTTCTATTGGAAGGAAGATACTTGGATATTGTTATGATTTTGTATTCTAAGGTAAGAATAAAAAAAAATAAATCTTTATAATTTCAATGAGTTCTAAATAAAAATTATTGTAGAAGCCAGAAAGGAAAAAAAAAATCTTTAACATTGCAGCTTTTTTCTTTTTGTAAAGAGATTCTTAGGATTTGAAGCACAAACATTTACCAAGTATTTCTCCTTTGACTAGACTGCCTTTGAACAAACCCGTGAGTGAAGAGAGCCATCTAGTGCCATACCTTGGAATTTTAAAAAGGGTTTTCACCGGATGCATGTCAAATAAAGGAGGGTCTCCATCCCCCAGTTCAATCGCTGTTATTCCCAAGGACCATACGTCACATCGAGCATCATATGAGTAGTCGTATTGCTGTTCACAAGCAATGACCTATCAGAAGAGAAGCAGAGAAACCAACGCTTTAATCTAATTTACAATTCGTGTCATCCAATATAACATGAAAGTACTTTTTTGAGTCACATCTAAAATGCTATGTAGCTATCAAATCCATATCATTTTGCCTGTATATACCAGACAGAAGAAACACCACAAAAAGGTAACAGTAAATTAGAAATCTCTTAGGTTTGTTTTCTTTAGAAACAATATTTTTTTAAAAATACATTAAACTTCTTGGGATGCTTCAAATATCTATACAAAGAACATCAATACTACATTCTTTTTTTGAAAGAACGACTTACAGAAGCCTGTTATAATAGCAGAGAACCCTACTGATGTTATTCTTATTAACCTCTATGACTATGCATGAGGATAGACCGATTTGCACAGCTGTTTTTTAGATAAGGATATTCCAACAGTAATTTCTGCCCTTTTTTGTTTGTTTGTTTTTTGTTTTATATTTAGTGCATTTGAGTAGTTTAAAAAAATCTTAGGTAACATACCATGTACCTTGTCTAAGAAAAATGGAAGTAAGCAGGAATCTCTCCTTGGATATCAGAACTGTTTTACATTACAGACTTAATGCACACTTCCGGCCAACTCACAGATCACGTTCTAATATGCTAACTATTCATGTCAGCTGAATCTAAATGTGAGATTCAAACCAAAGTTTAAATTTAGCCCTTATCTTTACAAAGGGATGAGACAAAAATTGCAGCTTCACTGCATTTTATTATAATTTGGAATTTTGTCTCAAGTTTGTCTTCCCAAATCTCAACAATTAAACAATTACTTTGAAAATCTGTTGAATCCCTGAATATTGCTAGTATAAACTTCCATGGTTTTTCTCATAGTTTTTAAAGTATCTTTAATAATTTGTACTTAAGATAAAAAGAACATATCCTAGGGTGGCTGTACCTATGTCCTAGAAGAGATTTTTTGGTTTTTAACTTCTGTATAACTTCTGAATCCTTGTCTAAGGGCTTCAGTTTGGAACAACACTTTGCAAAGATTGCAACATGAAAATCAGCAACGTGAGTAGCCACTGGCTGAGAGTCACCTGTTATAAAAAATCCTTTCCTGCAGAAGCTGATGATTCCATCTTAACCTCTTAGTTACTTTATCCATAAACTGCACCTAACAAAGGCATTCCTGGCTCTGGTAGTGATTCTTTCCAACCACAGAAATTGTCAGTCTCTTATTTGGGACTGTAGTGCACTCACTCCTTATTTTACCAGAAATCGAATCTTGAACACAGTTAAAATAATACTGAAATGTTTGGAGGGAGGTTTGCATTAAAGATGCACATCAGTTAATTCCTTTTCTTTTCCTAGAGCAAATCAGTCAAGAAAAATTAAGATGCTTCTGAATTTCGTATCAATGCTTTGACAAATGTTGAGATCACTCTATCTCCTCAACTTTTCCAGTTAGTATGCCAGAGAAAGGGGGAAAATGAAAGTAAGCACTGCAAAAGAGGATTCTGAGATTTTTTCCTTCAACTTGAAGAGGCAGAACTTTGTTAGTTAATACAGTGTTTTTCAAAGTTGTCACAAAAGATCATTTCTCCATCTCCCTTCTCTTCAACAGAAGGTCTTAAATAAAAGCTCTGTAATCATTTTTAGTTCTTCAAAATGTTCACTATAGCCTTGATCTCATCACAGAGATCACTCTATCTCATGAAGTATGGACAGTAGACAGTTTCTACACAGCTCAAGCAGAGTGCTTTAAAACACACCCGTTTCAGAGGCCTTTATGATAATTTCATTTTCTTATAACATTTGTGAGAGAAAAAATGCAAAAATCTGGTAAGTCAGTGTAGAGATCCATCAGAGATACTTATATATTATGAAGAAGCTATCACTGAAATTTTGCTCAGAGATTGAAGAGGAAGCTTATATTTCTTGTTTATTTTGGGGGTTTTCTATACAGTATCCCAAATCATCTGCATATTCAATACCATTTCCTCAAAAAAAAATCATTCAAGTTGGCTTCCAAGGCCATGACTTGGAAGCTTATCCATATGTGGCTAATTTTAAGCACTGTGCTCTCCTTTCATTTTAAACACATGAAAAATACTTACCTGCTTAGTATAAAATGTTAGAGCCCATTTCCTGAAGGTGAATACCTTGGAAGTTGCCTGGATTCTCATCAGCCAATTTGTCCTTTGCAAATCCTTGTCTATTTGTTCTCAAACTTTATGATGCAGAGAAAAACATTTTCATTTTTGAAAGAAGGAAAAAAAGGACCTGCTCAAGGTCACACTGGACTTCAGCAATGCCACACACATAGCTGGTCTCCCACATTCAAAGATACCATGATTTTTCCCTACAAGCACATCACAATTGCTTCTAACTACAGAATGATGACAAGCTTTGCAGTATATCTTAGTCTTACAAAGTTTAACAAACTACACTAATAAGTCTTAGAGCTTTTTTCACCTTCACAGTATATTACCTACCAAAGAGAAAGGTATGTTCAACACATCTTTGTGTCTTCTGCTCCACACCAAACAGATACACTCCATAGTATGTGGCACTATAATGACACTATGGCAAAATAGTGCCTTTCTAACCAAGGGGAATTAGACATCATTAGATTCTCCTCCATTCTATTATAGAGTCTATGGTGATTATTTTAGAAAAAATAGATCCCTTAATATATATTATTTTTTAAAAAGAAATTCAGCCAGTGGACCATCTGAACCAGTATGTTTTAGACCATTAGCTTGACAATAGTGAGATTAGCCTCACAGAAAAGATAAAAAATGATACTCTCTTCACCCAGTATGCAGAATGTACATGAATTTAACAATCACCTTGGTTTGAAACAAGTATTCAGTATCTGTGGAACTTATTATTAGAATCTTACCAACTTGTGTACAAGTTGTGTACAAGAGACACTTTTTTCTTGAAACATCTCTACTTTTTGTTGGAGTTTTGGAGCTGAGAATACCACTCAGCACAGCTGAGGCCTGCTCTACCCACTGGGACATGAAGACAGAGAGCCCAGAAGACATGAATTGAAACTGAAGAACATGTTATTCCCTTTCTCTTCCTTGTGTAAAGACATCACATTTGTACTAATTTTATATCCAGCAAAATCCTCCCCTGCTTGTAAAAGTGAAAGAGAAGATGTAGTTTGCTCTGCTGCAAACATTATGTTCATGGCAAAGCTTCAGGGGGTTATGTAGCTATCTTGAGATTTGCTAGTAAACATCATGGGAATAAACACCAAGTCTTTCAGTTCAGCATGGGCTGGCTGCATGCACACAGTGGCCTGGGTTGCTAAGGAGACAGGCTGTCATCTTTTGTTTTAGTTGTAATTTCATCACGGTTTCATGCCCAGGCATACTGCTGTAGGTTGAAAAGCATTCAAACACCAGACAGAGAAACAGAAAGTGTGATTGCAGATGTCAACACTAATTGTGCTGAGGGTCACACCGGCACAGAATGAGGGGACAGGGAATTCAAAGGTCTGGAAAAATGGTACATAAACAAATCAGTCACACTAAGTGGAGGTAATTTAGAGAAGTCAGTGCCTAGGCATTCCGTGTGATTTATAAGTTGTATAGAAACACAAAAATTCACAGAGATACACAAGATGACTTATACCCTGACAAGAAAACTTTATATTAAAGGACATATAATTCTCCTTGTTCTGAAATCAGTACAAATATTTCTCTGAACTTCAACAAGTGCAGCAGCAGATCAAAGGTGGATTCAAAAGAAGGAAAATAATTAATAGAGAGAACTACCTATTTTTTGGACAGTGGTCATACTAACTTGTGCAGAGAGAGGAACCTATACACAAGTTCAGGTGAAGCAAAATATATGAAACCCTTTTAAGTTTACCCAGAATTATTAGAAGTGAACTTACTTTCACTTTGCCTTAGTACATACAGTGTCTGTACAAAGTAGAGCTGCAAGCATACGCTAACAATAGCAGTGCAGATGTGCTACCTGGAGATGACTGCTGCACGATTGGCGCTGCTGACCCACGCGCAGGAAGGAGCCTGGAGCTAGCAAGGCTGCTGCTGCTGGAGTGAGGCAGTGCTGGGCTCAGCTGACAGAGCCAACTAAGCAGCTTATGTGGTGTGTGAGCCCTGCTGAGAAGCACTGCGCGTGGAAAATTAACGTGGCGCTAAATTGTTACCCTTGCTGCAAGGAAAAGAAGATTACCAGCTGTGCCAGTCAAGTGAAATGAAACAACTGAACTTCTGGGCTCCATCTTACACTATACAAACCAACTTCATTTGTTTACATTGGAAATACAATATTAAATATTCTAATTCCTATGTACCAAAATCAAAAAGCCTTTCATGATAGAACACAGCAGCACTGGGGATACTGAATTAGACAAAACAAAGTGATACTTATCTATCTCTATCACTCCATCACTTCCTCTTTCCCTCTTTACCTTCCAATCTTCAAGCACATCCATATATTAAAAAAAAAAAAGCAATTTTCCATATTCCTGCATTTTCTTATTTGGATTTCAGTTCCTTATTTTGGACCACTATACAAATGTTACCATGGTATACCAGAAAATTATTAAAATTGTTATAAATGTTCCCAAAATAAGTAGTAAATAATATTTTGAATAAGTCCTATAAGTAATTATCACAATTATTGTTGATTCATTGTAAATTAATTATATGTCAAGTAGTCAAATTTTACCAGCTGTGAGTAATCTATTTTTATTTTTAACTCACCCAAGGGAAATATTCCTGAGACCATTAGACTGCTCTGGCAACAGGCTACATTTGTAGGTAAATGTAATACCTTTTATTGGATCAAATGATATAGTAAGGAAAAACAGACAGGCTTTCAAGCACACAAATCTTGCTTTTATACCATGACACCATCACAAACTCAGTACTGCTCATAGTAATATAATTGACACATTTTGCTTCTGATCCACAGTTTTACTCCTAACTAGTAAGTATATCTACTACACAACTCACACAGATTTTCAAACGGTCTTTCACAAAGAAA